ATAGGATATATAATATAAGGTAGGCGCCAGACTAAGCGACTGCCTGCTTCAGCCAGGACGCGCACAGAATTAACGTCATTTGGCGTTACGTTGGACGAAAAACGGCTAAAACTAAAACTAAAACGGCGTTCGCTGCAACAACTAGTCTTGAAGATGATGAGGAGGCCTAAATGAGACGGAAATGATAAAAACACTCGCAGAGTAAACCTAGCTGCTCGGCGAGCGCCCCTTTAATTCCCGTCCGACGTGATGCCAAATGACGTGAATTCTGCGCATATCTTGCGGCTAAAGCAGGCAATTGCTTAGTCTGGCGCCTACCTAAGTATAGCAACAGCTTGACCTTTTTTTTTCTCCAGAGGAAAACTGGCCGTTCGCAGAATAAAACTAATTTTTTTTTTGCAGACATTGACAGAGGATGAGCACAGACTTCTGGAAATGAACAAGATTTTTTGTAGCAGAGAGATTAGGAACACTGTGGCTTTCTACTTAGCTCTTTCTACCTCATTGACGAATTGTAACGCACGTCAGGTACTTGCAGTTTTTTTGCTCATGGTTCAGATGTTATTTTGAAAAACAGCTAATTTTTGGTCATTGCTTTCTGCTTCTTATAGTTCCAACTTCCCGCTTCCTTACGTAATGACGGGCTTTTACCTTATCGCGGTCTTGCTCAACCTCGTTACATCGTTGTGAATGAACCATGTACGGTCTGTAAGGGGTAAGATCTGATTGGCAACACTTGATTTGATATGTACCGCACAGTTATCTAGGTTAGGAGAAGATTCTCTGAAGATTCGTTGTGACTTTTGCCGTTACGTTTACCATCTGGACTGTCTGCGACCCCCATTATGTTGTCCACCATCAGAGACGTGGATGTGTCCAAATCACGTGGAACCCGTTGTGGTGAGCTTTAGTTCACATATTGATCTATGTGGGGCTTGCTTGATTGATGTGTTTTCAGAGACGTTTTGGATAACTTGAGTCTTTTTTGATAGTTCAGGAATCAAAATTACTGACTTCCATAAGTGTAACGGAACGACGACATCTGTGGGCAAAGTATGCTAGGCAAAGAGTTGATGAGCATCTCGTGCGTATGAGTTTTTTGCACAAGGTAACGTATACATGCTCTAAATAGTTATTGATTATGGAGTGTCATGAGTTCAGGTCCGTAAATCACCTGATGAATCAAGCACCGAGGATGTTCATAACTCAGATGCATGCGAGAAGTAAGTGCTACTTGACCTTCGAACTTTTTTTCTGAAATGTTTGATTGTTCCTGGAGGGAACATCTGCACAAGAATTGCCTATATTCTTTATGGCATTGTTTTTCTGCTACCTAGAATACCATATGTCGTGCAAAGTACATGTAATCCCTGCTCAAAACTGGTTCGAATAGCTTTGGTTTGATGAATTATGAATTGCTCTTCACTAGCTTTGAACTTTAACACATTCA